GCAGTAACTGGAGAATGACAGACTTGTGATTGCATCATCTCCTCTGTCTGCGTATGTTTTAGAGACTAGATCATGAAAAAAACCAAATGTAGCAAATTAATATTTGGATCCCACTAGGTAACTGTGATGCACCTTTCTCACTGTCTGGGTAAATCTCTGTGGACCTAGAAAGAGATCTGGTCCATGCAGGGGTAACTTCCCACATCAGCAAACTGTAACCGTGAGGAAGAGGAGGAAAGGGCACCTCATGCTCTTCTTAAGAAGGTACATTCTGAAGGAGAACTTGTTTGTTTTTTTCCCTTTCAAGTGAGATCTCAAGTAAAAATTTTCAGTTTACCTGCAACTCACTTTTATAACTACCCTTACCCTCAGTCTGGGTGTTTGAGTCCAGAGCTCCAAAACTGTCTATTGTGTGTAGCAAGAGTTTTATGATAAAGTAACTCTGACATCATGATGTGAGTCATATCGGAGCGTGATCCTGAAATAGTCGGTACACGCTCATAGCTCAAGAAAATTTCTGTGAGAGTGTTTTCTGCTTCTGTTCGTTCTTGATTCCAAAGCTTTTGGGGGTGACGAGACTTACAAACGTTGCAAAGGCTTGAATTGAAAAGGCTTTTTAAATTTTAACATTGCCTCTGCTTTTTTCTTTTTTTGTGACTTTTTATGTTGGTAACAACAGCTAACGCTGTTTGTATTATATTGCCACCTATATGGAAGGTTGTGCAACACTTTCCATTATAAGACTGTTTCAGTTGCTTATTATGTTGCCAACATTCAGCTGTTTGGGCTGAAATTTTCCATGCTGGGTGTCTCCTTCAGGCTGAATTTCTTGGGAAAGTTTCAATAAAAATACTTGAACCATTCCAGGGAATGAGAGGAGGGGGAAATACTATATTTTGCTCATGTTTATTAAAGTTGCTGCAAGCACTTGATTCAGAAATCATTGCACCTACGTGTTTTGGAGCAGGGAGTTGAATTATTAGCAAGGTGAAAGGGCGAGGAAAGAAAAAATGGGGATAGAAGAGATTTCTTTCTAAGGAACAGGCTCCTCCCTGACGTTATGAACCATCTGCAAGGAAGCCCACAAACCCCATGCTTGTCAAAACAGGGTCAATGAATGGCTGGGAACTAGATGATTCTCCTTATTCCACTGCACCTATGTGGTTTTGGGGAGAGAGGCTTATGAGGTGTAAACACAATCCTATGCAACAGGGAATAGGACTAAAATCTGCACAGGGGTGGAATTAGAGGGGCAAGGGTATGGACTTAAGAGTTGAAAATAGCAGAGGTAGATTTGCTCAGCAAGGAGATGGATCTGAAGATGGTGAAAGAGATTATTGAGCAAGGAGATGGGATTTAACCTAAGTGGTTTTACAGCAGCCTTTGTTAGTTACAGTTCATTTTCTGTTTCTCACACATCTTGTGCATTTAAATAAGTCAGGGAAAATGGTATGCAGTCGTGTAATTTAGAGACCAGTATTCAACCTTAATTCCAGCATGTTTCATTTCTGAGCACTTGATGTTGCAACTATAATGTACTTTCAACGTGAAAATTAAAGTCTTAGTTAGAAATGTCATTCTATACCCATCATTAAAACGCTTATATTGTAAGCTTTGAAGAACACCACCATAGTTAGGCACAAATATAATACTGCATTTCAATTAAAATACTGAAAAACGTTTTATTTTAATCCATTCCATTTAGAAAAGTTTCCTTTTTAAAACCGTAGCACTGCCAGTGCTTCAGCAAACGTGTATGGGGCTGTTTGGATCTGAAAAGGGTAACTGCACACTTGAGATCTCAGGAGCTGAACTTCACAACAGACTCTGCCTTTCTTTTCTCTCAGGTTCACAGTGTAGACAACAAATGATAGATTGGAATCTACCCAACACACTCAGCCCAAGTGGGAGCAAGTTAACGGGACAGGGGGAAGTTTCAGCTATAACTTCAAATTTTCCTGATTTTTATGGACTTCAACCAGACTGGTTATACCTCAGTATTATTTTAACATTGTTATTTGTGGCTGGGTTTGTTAAATAGCAGTGCTTATGCTGCTGCTTTCAGTATCTCACACGTGAGGTTATCTTCCAAGTTTTCAAGGATTTATAATGTTGCCGTAACATTTTCTTAAGGAATAAGGCTCACCATCCAGAAGCAAGCTTACATCATAGTACAAATTCCAAAAATAGTGAATTAGATGTTTCCTAGTGAGAGGTAAGCAAATGTGTGCTGAATACCCATTTTACTACGATCCTTTTTACTTCGTTTTTTTCTTTAATGAAATTTAGATTTCTGTTTGGGGACTGTTCTGTTAGTAATATCTGCACCCTTGTTTAGAGAAGAGAATTTAAAGCTGAACTGTTACTATGGATATCTGCTTTTTAAATATTGACTTCATAAAAATGCCATATCTGGTTTTGACATGATGTATTGTTTCTGTTCAAGGAAGATAAGCTGTCATGCCATATACCTTTTTATTAATGTCTGGGGATTGTATGTTGATATTATGTATCATGGCAAAGATCCACTTATTAATGCGTTCATGGTATGGATGGACAGGAGACATTTATTGCTCTAACGGTACTTAAAATTTTACACCACAGTGTTTTGAGGCTATGTGAAAGTACACAAATCTCTTTTGAAAAAGAGTTTGGTTTTTTTTATATTTAGGTCAAATTTTTCTTTCCTATTTCACACAGATGCTTAAACCCCCATTTTTTTTCTTTCTCCCTTCCCCTTCCCCTTCTCTTTGCATCCCTTACAGTTCACAAGAGCTGGTTTTTTTCAGGGTTCTCTCCATAAGCGCAGTCAGGTCTGGATCTCACAGCCAGTAGAACCTGCCCAGCTCCCACCTAAACAGCCCATGTGTTGTGAGCAGTCACAAAACGTTGGGTTTCTATGGACCCTAAACAAATGTAGGGATGCACATTAAGTCAACCTGTTGGTTGAGGCCCAAAGGAGAAAGGGGGCTATCCTACAGCACCATATTGCAGATGCTGGGGCAGATACACTGCGTTGTTGTGAGGCCCAGCATGACCAATGTGGTCCTGTTCAGTGCAATTGTTGTGGTACTGCGGTCTGCAGAGTCGGGTTGTCCAGCCAGCCTGTGGCCTGATCCTTCATACAGGATCAGGATGTAGACTGGATACAGAGGGTATGGACTGTGAACCAGATGACTGGTGTGGCAGTATTCCTGCTGCCTCCTCAGGGTCTGCTACTCTTCCTCGGGAGCTATAGGTGGATCTCCCAGTCCTCTGTTGGATTCTGGATGTAGGACAGGGGTTGCTTCCATGTCTTCTCATACAATACAGAACATCAAGGCAGATTGGTCAGCTCTGTCATTTGATGGGTCCATTGCAGAGCTGGCTGAAACCAGCTGTGGCTGGCATGAGGCAGACCCTGGCCTCTTCTCGCCCTGCAGCCCCCTCTGCTACCCAGATCTTGTCACCTACACCCAATACAACAACTCAGCATTTTCATTATTTCTTCCACAGACTTGTTCTCTGTGGCCTCTTCTATCCCTGGGTCTGCCTCATTCTCTTTCCTTGGCTCCTCGGAAGAGAGTGTGACTATTGAAAGAAAGCCAGATCAGCCTCAGTTCATTCAGTACAAGTAATGACTGGTAAATTTTGTCATTCTGTTTCCTTACTGGATTGCAAATGTGAGTTTCTGGGTGACAGCTGGCTCCAAGGTGAGGTCAGTGTACCAGCTGCATCATGTTCTCACCTCTCTGAATGTGCCCTTCATGGTTTGCCAAGGCTGCAAGAGCTCATTATGTAAAGCTTGTGTCTTGGCTAAAACCTGTTTTACTCTGGTCAGACAAATGTCTGGGTGTAACTGAACTTCTTGTTCTGTATCATGTGCTAGGGCATATTGTTTTATTCACTGACAGGTGTCATTTTTGCTGTAGCATGAAGGACAGAGGACTGTATGGACAAGGGGATTTACTTTAGCCTGTCTTCTTAGGAATCCTTCAAGATGGCTCCTTGTGCACTGGAGGAGAAAGACAAAGGATTGAAATATTGCTTGAATGCTGAGTGCGTGAAGTCTGAGTTGCAGAGATCCTGTTGTGGGGGAACCCCAGTCCTTTCAAGTGAGGGTTAATACAGGTGCCAGAGTGATGCTTTGACTGCCAGCATAATGCAATATCAGCTGCTCTGGTGTAAGTCTGTGTAGGCACTTGGAATAAAAGTGATCTTTTTCACTTCAGTTGTTCTTTTTCGGAAGGAATCAGAATGAAAGTGAAAAAAAGCTATTTTCATTCCAGGTGAGAGATCCCATGCAAACAGTTGCACTGCTGGAATTACTGCACTAGCAGTGCACAACTTGTGTCATGCTGGTGGAATTCCCTCTCGGTATCCCCCAGAGATGAACCTCTGGTTCCATTAGCCCTTCAGCAGCACGTACCAAAGCTCTACAGAGGGACCTCATTAGGTTTTCAAGAGTTGGGAGCTCCAGTTCGATAATTGAACATCTTTTACGTCAGGCAACATTGTCAAAAACCTTTAGAAAAAGAATATGATTATCCTAAGTTGAAAATGATGTATCTATGCAATCTAATTCATACTATCCCTTTAACCTTTGGATTCAATACATTTGCCCTAACATTTTTCTCTGTTACAGCTACTCAGCTACTTTTTCACAGAAGGATTGAGTGTAGTTATTGTAAGGAATGAGTATAATTATTATAATACTGTGTGCAATGCTCATCTCTGGTTGGAGTTCAATAAAAGCTTGTGTGTTTGCACATGATGCAAATGTCTAATGTAAGTTCTGTCAAAATCAGAAGCAAATGGCCCAGATGTTGAACACTGGAATAAAGCTGTTGGTGGAGAAGTTTATATTCTTGAAATCTGTGTGTTGCAGAGGAACTTGTCGTGGCTGGGTTTGAAGCTCCATTTGATCACTGAGGGTGAAAAATACTTACTTTAGTTTTACTTAAAGCTTAATTGTGGAGAGTGTTTCATGCCTCTCATCCTCGTGATTGTCCTTGTTCTAGATTTATGACTGATGCAGCTCGACGTGAGCAGGAGTCTTTGAAGAAAAAGATTCAGCCAAAACTCTCTTTGACTTTGTCAAGCACAGTGTCCCGTGGGAATGTATCTACTCCACCTCGCCACAGCAGTGGAAGCCTTACTCCTCCAGTCACCCCTCCCATCACTCCCTCCTCTTCATTTCGCAGTAGTACTCCTACAGGTAAGCACCTACTGTTTGGTTTATCCCAAATAAACTAGTAATTTTGCTAAATGGCATTTGGAAAACAATAAAAATACTAAGACATTGGGAAAAAGAACCCCTAAAAATAAAACAAAAGAGCTTTGGGCTCTTTTATTTGCATTTGTTTTTCAATCTCTAAAATGTGTTTGGGCATTTATTTCCAAACTTTGCTAAAGCAGAGAAGGACATGAGCTTTAAAAATCACAGCTGAAAATACCACATGAAGAAACTAACCTTAGCAGAAATACTGAATGTGCAGAAGACCCCTGATGTATCAGTAGGAGAGTTATGCACATGATGTATTGTCAGTTTAAGATACCAAAAAAAAGTGGTTGAGATCTTCCCATCTTCCCCCCCTGCCCATCCCTTTCCTCTCTTTTGTTTTTTTTGAGGGGAATTGAGTTCATAGATAAATGAGTTGACAAGGCAGAATCTTCAGTCACATGTAGATGTGACTTTCATTAGGAAACTGTTCAAAAAAAGTAATGTGTGAAGTCATATGTGTTTTCTTCAAAAACAAGCATTCTTGTGGTTTTCCCAAGTATAAAATTCCTGGGAATGTTTTTTGTACTGATTAGAGAAACTGAAAATTGCTTGCTCTGGCCTAAGTCAGTTTAGTTTACATTGGGTAGAGATCTTGTCAGACAATTCTGATAAACTTCAGATTAAATACCAGTATTTCCTTCTAAAAAGCTAAATGTATATAATACATCTGTTCTGTAATAAATAGGCTCAACATATTCATTTTAATAGGAAATCACATGAGCATCCCTGCTTTGATAAACTGCTATGCCATGTGTTTTATATAAGCTATTTAATATTTTAGTATTAATGATTAAATAAAAAAGTTGTAGCGGTCCTTGCGACACTCTGTCTGGAAGTTCTGAAACAAATTGGTTGTTCAGTGTGTTCCTGGATATAAAAAAGGGAAGCATGTTGAGAACAGCTAAATGATAAAGTCCTAAGGTAATACAGAAAATTTTAGAAGTAAGATTTTCTTCATTATCTCCTATTTGAAACAACCTGATTCATTTCCTTGACATCCTACAGATGTAAAGGAATTTCTGCTTTCTTTTGGTTCACTGTTTGTAGAGCTCCTCCTGGGAAGGCTTAGGTCAGGTGGTATAACTTTGCACATCTGTCAGGAACATTGGGTAGCAATGTACTCTTTGAAACATGCTCCATCAAATACTAAAGAAAAAAGGCAGTATCTGTCTACTGAAATACTTTTATTTTTATTATTTATATATTTTTCAAACTTTTTTAAGTTACTCGGAGTGTTGTTTTACCTGTAGCTAGGAGAATCGGCTTGTTTTGGCTGAGTTTCTGGGATTCCTGCCTGCCAGGTTATAAATAATACCAGTTTCTACTTTCTGCACCCTCTGTTCCAAGTTCCCATTAGAGCCTTGTTCCAAGGTTAGGGTTTGTAATAGCCTGGTAGCAAAACTAAATAGTCTTTCTTGAAGATTTTTTTTTTTTTTAATAGCTATCAACTGAGTTGCATTTCATCACCCTCACCCCAGAATTTCCATTTTTGTCATCTTAAAAATTCTTCTGGACCTAAAATAAGAGTTGAGATTTTTCTGCTAACTACAGAATTTTTTGCAGTGTTTGCTTGGCGTAGGATTTTGTTCTCCATGATGGTTATAACTTACATAGATGAGGTGATCCGAGTCCTGCTGTGGCTGAGTTTCTGTCAGTGCAGTGCCTGCAGAGGGAGCCCAGGAAGGCCAGCAAACTCATTTTAGACGGGCACCTCACGTGTTTGTTACTGGCTGATGTGAATCTTTTTCCCTCAAGTGTAAGTATATATGGCAGTTGACTAGCAAGGTGATAAAACCAAGGGTAGTTAGGCATGATCTGTTTCAGGGAAACAATTTAGAGCATGTAAATGGTCCTGCATTTCAGCCTCTCAGTGCCTACACAACTTTCAAGCCCTACAGGCATACCCTCCACTGCATCCAGTGAGAATGAAGAATATTGCAGTATTCCTTCTGTGCGATCCTGTTTGATTTGTACTCCGAGCAAACTCTTGTTAACTCGTCTCTGAATACAGGTAAACAGGTATGTTGTAGTAAATTCAGAAAATTAAAGAGGCTGTTTTTCCCTTAGGTTGCCTGAAAGGACATCATCTGGGTTGATGTCAAGTATTTGTTATAATCATAGAATCCGAATACAATCGTTGTCCTCGTCCTCCTTTACTTTGTTAAAAATAAAATGGGATTGCTTTGACCCCATTTATTAATGAAACATTCAGAATAGCAGATACTATTTTATTATCTCCCATTTTAGTTGTTTGATACTTTATTAGGGTGACAAACTTCAGCAGTGCATCTGGCCTTATTGTGACTGCACATGGTGTGACTCCAAGGGGGTGACACTTGAGATGCCAAAGACAAAGTGTGCCTCACAGACTGACGAATACAAATGTGTGTGTCCCTCAGCAGAGAGTGTCTGGCCTATATGGCTGTTTGCCATTCTTGTTCAAGGCAGACAGCAGGAACCTCACTAATCTTTTGGGTCCCATTTACCACGCAGTGGCCTCCCTTTAGGTGTGCTGCTTGCCTTGACTCTGCTAGGTGTGGAGGTGTGGTGGTCTTAACCTTGGATGAAGACAGCAGCTGCCTGAATCCCAGCCACCTTTGCGCTCGTCCTTACAGCCAAGTCCCACCATTTGCCGATGCTGTTAAACTACTGTTGTCATTTTTCAGCAAAGCATAATTTCATACAATGATCTCTCATCCAGTATTGACCAGCTATGAACCCAGTTAGCTTGTGAAATTTGATAAGAAACAGTTCAAGGTGGTTTGGCTGCAGAGAGTGTTTGTTAAGTTTTGCAGTAAAAATTCGTGCCAAAAGACTACGGGCCAAATTCACAGACAGAGCTGAGCAGCTTCCAAGCTGACACACTTCCATGCTGCAAATGCTGCATGCGTATGTATAGCACCTTCTTCTGCATAAATGAGATTATTCATGTAGAAGCAGAAATATTCAGCAAAGAAGTGTGCTCTTTAAGGCTCTTCTCAAGTAATGAGGTAGACATGTATTTATCTGCAGACTCTGTATGCGTTAGGCCCCTGAAATGGCCCGTTTGTGGTTTTGGTGGGAAGTAGAAATGCAGCAGTTAATTTTCTATACCTCCCCTCTGTTCCCTCAGGGGTGACTGGCATTTACTCTCTGCTTACATTTGGCTTTTTGTTCCCTCTCCTATAACAAGTTTTCTCTTCTTCTTAAGACCTGCATCCTCTAATGATCACAGAAAGTTCACTTTTAAGATGTGCTCCAGTTTTTGTTTTAACAATATTGTCTCCGTGGAGACTTTGTTTAGTAGGCTTAAATGCTCTTGGAATTTGCAGGCAGGATTTAGTATAAGAAATGGCTTCCATCAGCAACACAGACTCCTTCGGGTGATAGGGAACTATAGCTAAGTAGCACCAGCACAGAGCTTATTTTGGAAAGACATTAACAGTCTGCAAACATTGAAATATCTCTTTATTTAAGGAGCGCTCAATTAAGTCACAAAAACTTATGTTGCCTTTATTTTTAAATGTCAATTTTAAACCCACAAAACTAATGAAGTCTAGTTATGGATAAAAATGGGGCTGACATTGCATCTCTAACATACGCTGTTAATTTTTTTAATGTTTTCATACATCTGTGTGGCTCACAGATGAAATTTCCACCCCTAACTTCCTGGCTTTTGAGTGGAAGTCAGAGCGTTGACATTCCTTTGAAAACTATGCTATCTCTTCATATTGAAAAGCTTTAAAAAAGATTCACTGATAGTAACTTATTGGTAATTCATTATTAAAATAACCTGGTCCTAATTTTAGTTACGAAAGTAATTCATAGTAATGAGTCTCAGACTTAAAAAAAAAAAAAAAGTCACTTTTGCATTGAAGGAGTGCCAAAAATCATCTGAAACCACTGTTTTGTGTTTGTTTGTTTTTTCTTCCATATTTATGACAACTTTTCTTACTTTTTTTAAACGATTCCAGGCCTGGGACTGTAAATTTCAGCCTGGAGTGAATTTTTGGCCATCTTATAAACCCTAAAGCAAGAGTTTAATACTACCAACTGGCTTTTTTAATGGCTCAACGCTAAGTCTTGCCCTCCCCCCTGAAAAAAGCTAGAATATTTGAAAACCTCATAATTAGCATTATATTTTGCTCTGAAGAATCTGGCTCTCAGACCTCCTTTCCTGTTTATTTTTATTTTAATAGATTACAAGGTATAAGGTTTATGCTGTTTTAATAGGTTTATAGACCTACTTACTGCCTGATGGCGTTGGGCAGCGGATGGCAGCCAGCGCTGGCAGCGAGCGCTGAGGATGCTATGGTTGGCTGGAGTAGCTGCGGCGTCTGTCAGTCCTCCCACTGCTAAAGGACATGAAAGAGGGAAGTTTTCATGGGTGGTCACAGCTGACCCCATGAGAGAATTGGCAAGCCCCGTTTTGATTTGCAGCTGTCATTTAAGTAGGTGACTAACTATTAGTTTATCTTATTAATTAGGATAAATGCCTTTCTGGGGAGTCATATTTGTGCAGTCATTTTTGATTGACTGCATTTGAAAGATTTTACCTTTCCGTAATATGGCAGACTTCCTTGAAATTTCTTCTACTAGCCCAATCTCAGTATTTACAAAAGTAAGCCCATTTTCTACCCACAGAAAATACCTAACTTTTCAATCTATTTTCTTTTTTTCTTTCTAGTAAAACATGAAAGTAATAATTAATTTTAATTTGGAGTAAAAAGCACTTTGTGGGATTTTCCTTAACTTTAAGGAATCTACGATCTGAAAAGTGTTATTGTAAACAAGTACACCTAAAAATTCAGTACAGCTATATATTAAGACTTCTTAAAAAACTATGACTGAGGCTTTCAAATTAGTACTATTGATGTAGAAACCATTACATTTACCTTGTGAGGATACTACTTGAATGATAATTTAGTAGATCTATAGTAACTGGGTAGGGTTTT